TCTAACTCAAATTTAAAATGGTATTCCACTGCTCCTTCCTAACTCTACATTATTACTGGCATACACAAACAGAAGCCTGCCCACTTCTGTAATGTTTCAAAAGGAATGAAAATTACACAATTATTAGTTTCATACAAAACAATATATACAAAATTTGATCGATGCGCAGGGCCATTTTCTGTCAAATGTAGTAGCGGGTTGTCCGCTTGTTCATGAAAAATTTTCAAATACCTATTATCCTGTTTTGATTATAATGTCCTCATGAGAGTCCTTTATTTGTCTCTTGGTTTTTGTAGGGACAGTAATTTTTTCAATAACAGTTTTGCATCAAAATTTATGTCTAAATTACCAAAGTTGAGCTAGTTGTTTTTCGCTAGTTTCGTTGCGCTACTGCAACAGACATTTGAATCCTTTTAGCCCATTTAAATGTCCTCTTCATGAGAAGTGTACCTTTGTCTCATTTCTTCTGTTCAGTTTTTTAATCAATCAAATACCTATGTTCGGCTAAAACTTATGTTTAAAATTCACGGACTGCGCATGTTGATTTGCAACAAGTTTCCGCAGCAGCTTAACATTTTGTTTTTGGACGTCTACTCTTTTCTAAAATATTCTTTTGTACTTTGAGTTGTCAACAAAGTTGTATTTACACCTCGTGGAGTTCTGTAGGAGAAAGAATTAGTGTAGTACCTATTTTTAATCAAAGGATATGCTCAAATTACGAAGGCCGCTCTAGCCGTTTTTTGTCCTTTTGGCAACAGTTATATTTCTTATTTTTGAACAATTTTTCATCTTATTAACATGCTTATAAGTGTTTGATGTCTTCATAAAAGTTTTAGATGTGTTTCTTCATATTGTTTTGGAATTAGAATTGGTTTAATAATATTCTGTGATTGAAGTTATGATTGTAATAAGAATATTGACCATGAACTACTGAAAGATAATATAAATGAAATTTGCCTTCCACCATAATTTATATAATTACTTACCTCGAGTCAAGCCATCCATTAGTCAAAATTACATTTTTATTGTAGGTTTGGCGTCTTGCCTTATTAGTAGGGCTGATCATGGGACTCAGAGAATTTTGAACTGTTCAGAAAATTGAACCAAAATCACTCTGAATCAAAAAATAACCATTGATCGTTTGACTTTATCCAAACTGAACTAAACCGAACCATAAGAATAATTGGTACAGTTCTGGAGATTTCACAAATATCCGTATCAAGAACCGAACCGAACCGTCTCATACCGTACCAAGCCGAAGAACCAAAATTAAGAGCCGAATTATAACATTAGATGTGTGTTATTAATATATTTTATGTCGACTTTGATTTTATATAATTGGACAATTTTTAAAATGCGAATAAAATATAGTTATAACAATTAAGCTACATTTAAATTTCATGCTTAGCAATACTTGACCTATAATTGAATTTTTCCTGTTTTAAAAAATATTAAAAATGGCATGAAAGGTTAAAGAATAATTTTAAAAAAAAAAACTATTTAAACTTTACTTAAATTTGGCGATACTTTTCTTAGTCTTATTATATCTCATAATTAAAATGGTATGAAGGTTAAAGAAATTTTATTTTAAGAATAAACTATATTATACTTCTTTTCAATTTTAAATTTTCAATGATAGTTGCATAATTGGTCTTAACTAAAATTAAGAGTTACTTCTAAAGTTGATTTCAAATAAAATGTTCAATATGATGAAGTATTGATGACTATTTAATTTATTTTTAATTTAAAAAAGTATATAATATTAAATATAACAAGATAGTCATCCATTAAAATTTAAAAATAATTTTGAAATCTCTAGAGATCCGAACCGAAGCGATCCGTTCTGATAGTCCTGAATATCGAACTGAATCGAACAAAAAAATAAGAAACTCCAAGTCAAACTGTCACAAATTTTTGGTACAGTTCTGGAGATCGAATTTTAGTGATCTCTGAATTTCAGTACGGTTTTGGAGATTTGTCAATCTCTAAATCGTACCGACTCATACTCACCCCTAATTGTTAGGATCATTGAAGCATGAGCATTCATTACCAATCACCTCACGAGATACTACTTGAGGTGAGAATTTTTACTACGCGTTTATTCTCTTTAATCGCAAGGTATAATGATTGTTGTAGGTTCTGTGATCAGACCTTCGGGCAAGTACGAGACCTTCGGGCAAGTACGAGGTTTCGGGCAATTATATGTGGTAACGGATTTCCAGTGTATATGAGCCACAAGTCCGGGTATACCATGAAGGTTTGAAATGAGAGCTACAAGTCCTGGTAAACCATGGGTGCTTGAAACTAGACCGTGACAAATATATTTTACGGCATGATTACGATGATTGTCATATCTGTTATTAACTTGAATTATTGCGCAGTATATTTCTCCACTGAGTCGTTCTTTATTCATCCCACCATTAACATTTTGAGAT